TTTTTTTTTTTAAACTTTTCATTGTTTTCTGAATTTTCTTGCTTTCTTCCAATTACCTATTTTCTGCATGATGGTTGGATTCTTTGTCTTTCAAGGTAAAATCTGTCCCACAATGTTTTGTGATCCCTTTATGTCAGTTCATGTTGAAGAGTAAGCTCTAAATAGCTTATTTTGCATGCATAGATAGTGATTGTCTCAGAGGATAGTTGGTTTTCTCTGGATGAACCCCAGTATCAGAATATATAGATCTGTATGCTATGGTAGATTATTTTCTCCCAAGGTTTCTGTGCTCTCCTGGTGTATGGGATATAAACCTGACTGAGTGTATCAGGGAAAGAATGTAGACTCTTATTTATTTTTTTTCCCTTTATTATCAGGATGTCAAGGATGATTTTACATGTACATGGAGTCCCTGTTTCTAGGGTTCCCTTTGATTCGGTTTCTCCCAGGCATAAATTCCCTTCTAATGTGATACAGTGTAAATGCCAAAGTGAAGCATGATGGAGAGGAAAGGAGGAGATGGTTTAAATAGATTTCTTTAAAGAAACTTTTAGGAGCTCTGGTAGCATAGTGGCTAAAGCACTTGACTGCTAACCAGAAGGCTGGCGGTTCAAACCCACCAGCCACTCCTCGGAAGGAAGGTTGGGCAATCCTACTTCCGTAGTGATACTGCCTCGGAAACCCAAGGAGGGGTCGCTATGAGTCGGGGCTGACTCGACGGCACATAACAACAACAACAACAAAGAAACTTTTAGCACTCATCTTGTCTTCAGCCTCACCTTCATGCCTCTAATATCCTACCTCGTCCCTAGTAATCATGAGCCATTCTTGTCTCTACTGTTTAAGATGAGCCCTTATGAATTTAGTAAGGACTCATGCTGGGAGCTCTGGTAGCATAGTGGTTAAGACGCTTGCCTGCTAACCAGACGGCTGGCGGTTCAAACCCACCAGCCTCTCCTCGGAAGGAAGGTTGGGCAATCCTACTTCCGTAGTGATACTGCCTCGGAAACCCAAGGAGGGGTCGCTATGAGTCGGGGCCAACTCGACGGCACATAACAACAACAACAAAAAGGATTCATGCCACTCCTTGGAAGGAAGATGGGGCAATCTACTTCTGCAGTGATACTGCCTCGGAAACCCAAGGAGGGGTCACTATAGACGGCACATGACAACAACAACAACAAGGATTCATGATTTGTGGATCACTTAAGTCGATTACTATTAATCCATTTGCTTTTCAGCTTTAACAGTTTGGTTTCAAATATTTAATCTGCTTGTGATTTCTCTTATTTTCTTAGACTTTCAGATTTTGCCTTTAAAAATATCTTTGCTGTCAATTCAACGTGATTTTAAGAACTTATGGAAGAAAATGGAACTTTTCCAGTTTTCATATTTAGCATCAACCCTCCATTAATAACCTTTTAATGAAGGAATTTATAAAATGGGTTCAGCCAGTTCTTTAAGTATAAGAAACAATAACAAACTTTTCCTAAGAGCCCATGCACGCTATAGATAAGAGACACAAAAGGAACTTACTGGTTTGTTCTGAGCTATTTCCTAAAAAACAAACAGAAATAAAGATAAAAGCTAAGTTAGCGATGGAAGAACCATTTTTTCTCATTCTTTAAAGTGAGGATTTACAAAGCTAGAGATGAGGTCAAATAATGCAGAAATCCTCTGTAATTTGGTAATGAAAGTACAAATGATTTGAAATGCTACTTTTTGACTCATTTGAAAGCCACAAATAAAGGTATAGGTGTTGTTTGCCCATTAGAAGGATATTAGTTTTGCCTAATATATTTCTGAGATTATGCTGTGGAATGCAAAGTTGACCTAAACTATGTTTAAATCTAATTTTTATTTTATCAATGTGTGTTTACTTACTTTAAAAGTCAAATCATAAATGCATATAAAGCACCAGTCTTCTGAGTCATCAAATCTACTCTGTTTCCTTTTCACTTTCACCTTGGAAGGAATGGGCTGTCTAACTAATATTTGGTCCTTGAGTGCCTACTGCTATTTTATAGTTTCTTTAGTTTGGATCATGCACAGTAGCTTCCTCTTGGGGTACCAAGGCTTTACCTCTTTTCTACTCTTCCCTGTTTACTTCTTCTCTCACTATCTCTCCAGTAAACCCATGTCACATTTGTTTTTGTAAGTCAATATATTGACTTATAATATCTGCCCATGTAAATTTTCATCTTAGCTGAATTATAGATTATACCAGGTTTTCTGCATAAAATTTTCTGTGCTCTGCAGTTAATTTTTACATTCTTCGCTGGTTTCATAGTATGATTTTGCCTTCAAATTATTTTTTCCATTCGGTTGAGCTTCAGGAGGGAAGGAAAAATGTACCCCCTTTTTATTTGCTTAATATGGACTCTGATACTCTTTGTACGGTTGGTTTAACACCAGTAAGGGTAATATTCAGAAAGCTGAAAGACTCATGATTATCAAACCAGATCATCCCCAGATTAGAAACAGAAAGAAGGGTACTGATGGGTTCTAGGCACTTTTCTACAATACAAATAGTAGCATAAGTGTGGTTTACCTGAGAGGAGGAGATAATATTTTCTTTCCCTTAGCCACACTAGAGTGATTTTAAAACTTAGAGTATAACATACTAAGAATACAAAAGACTTTTTTTTTTTTAAATATAGGAGACTAAAGCAAATATGGAAAATTCAGAAATGAATTTACCAATGGATTCTGGAGTCTCAACTGAAACACAAACAAACACAAAATTTTTGTTTGTGAAAGGAAGACTAGTTTTCTCTACTATCAGTTTTCATAATGGATATAATGCAAAATTGACATATTCACATGTATTATTAAAATTAAACGTTAATATCAAAGTCATATATTACCACATTTTGAAAACTCATCTAATATTGTAGACTTACAGCAAAAAACATTGATGCCTTGTTACAACCATTTGCAATCAGATTTGCTGTCCTGTAATATATATCCACTCTGTATTTAAATGTAGGCTCTTTTTCTAGAATTTATCTAAATATTTGAAAATAGCTTTCTGGGAATGTGCTATCTGGTGTTTCAGTTTGATACAATATCTACTGACTTCCTGCTATCAAAGATTCAGTCTTTTTGCCCTCCCCATAGGTCTTCTCCTTTATTTTCTTGTGGTGGGCAAAATTCTAAGATTAACCCTAATGAGTCACCCCCTGTATAATGCTCTCTCCTTGAGTGAGTGTAGAACCTATGACTTGTTTTTAGCTAATAGAATGTGGGCAAGGTGATAAGATAGTCACTCCTATGATACATGTTACATTTGAGCAGCCTGGATGGAGTGAGGGATTCTCCTTCTGGACCTGAAGAAGTAAGCTGCCATGTCTCAGAGCACCTGAGAAAGGAAAAGGTGGCAGGGAACTGCAGGGGTCCCTAGGAACTGAGCTCAACCACCAGCTGACAACAAGCAAGAAACGTGGAACCCCAGGAAAGAGTATAGCAGTCATGGGATATGATGAAATGGTCTGACTCATACGAAGTTTTTGTCATAGAGGATGAGAGGAAGAATAGGGTGGAAGCAATAAAAGAAATGTTACAGAGAATAAAAGTGAAAGAAAATTCTGATGGAAGCATGGAAATGCAGGAAGAAATTAAGATAAAAGTAAATAAATATATGGGTAGACAGGCAAATACTGACTGCAGTTAATTTTTGCATTCTTTTCTGTTTTCTTACAATGTTTTTGCAGTCCCTGCTTCTTTTTACTTTGCTGTTTTGGTGCGTTTCAGGAGGGAATAGAAGAAAGCACCTTTGTTCAATTTGCCTAATATGGACTCTGATACTCTCTTCATGGGTGTTTTTATGATTAGCAATAGTGTTATCCAAAAAGCTCAAAAGTCTCAGTTAGCAGACCATATGCCCAGATTAAAGAAAGGAAGGGAAGGTACTGAGAAAAAAAAAAACAAAAGAACTTACTAGTTTGTACTGATATAGTTCCTACGAAAACAAACACAAATGAACATGTTAGCTAACTTAAACATGCAATAACTGTTTTCTCTAATTCTCTAAAGGGTGGATACACAAAGCTAGAAATGATGACCACTAGACAACATAAAATCCCTCTATGAGTTGGTAATGAAAGCGCTTAAGATACGAGATTCAAAAGAGGTAGTTACTGACAGGTTTTGAAGTCACAGCTGAAATAGAAAAAAAAAAAAAAATTTAAAAGTGGCATTGGTTGCCCCTTAGAAACAGATTTATTTTCCTAAATATTTTTCTAAAATCATTCAATAGAATGCAACATTTACAAGAAGCATTTACATTGAATTGTCCTTATATCAAAGTATATGCACTTGTTGTAAAAGTCAAAATGTGTAATGTAAATAAGAACACCAGTTCTTTGACCCATGTCTCCCTACCTCCAATTTTTTTTTTGGGAATGCTATTTAACTAGTATTAGGCCGTAAAACTGTGTCTATGATATTTTATGATTTCTCAGATTTGGATAATGTGCATTGGCTTCCTACTATTAGCAACAAGACTTTATTTAGCTCCTTTTCTACCCTTCTCCCAATTCACTTCCCCTCCACCATTCTTTCCAACAAACCCATATCACATTTTTTTCAGGTGAACAATATACTGTGTTAGCAATATCATGACCGTGTTAACAATTTCATATACCAGTTATCCTGTGAAAAATTTTCATTTTTCTTCCATATATATATATATATATATATATATATATATATTTTTTTTTTTACTTATTTTGGGCTTTCCTAAAACATTTACTTCAGGTTTATGCCTCTTGTTATTCTTTCACAGTCATTTTAGTAAGTTTCTCAAGGGAAGAGAAGAAAATGCCCATCTCTGTTGCCTAATATGGACTCTTGATACTCTCTTCATGGGTGGCTTTACAGTCATTAAGTGTTGCTATTTGAAAAGCTTAAAAGCCTCCTGATTAGCAGACCTCATCACCTGCAGATTAGAAACTGCATGGGAAGGTAATTGATGTGTCTAGGATCTTTTCTATAATACAAATAAAACTTCAGTTTGATTTTCCCAAGAGAAAGAGAAGAATATTGTCTCTCCTTAATCTTGTCTAAAGTGATTTAAAAACTTTAAGATGCAATAGCCTGAGACCTGAAAATTCTTCCTAGCAACTAGTTGCCCAAATCAGATTTCAAAAAATTGAAAATGCACTTACGTGTGGTTTCTGGAGTCTGAGCTAAAAGACAAACAAAACAAATACAAAATTGATATTTTCTTGTGAAAGGAAGACTTATTTTCTCTAATAGCCTCTAATAGTCTTTTTGATATTGAATACAATGAAAGCTTCACATTCAAATGTATCATTAAAATTTGATTGTTTTCATCAAAGTAACATATATACTAATTTAAAAAAGGAAGCTAATGTTATGGACTGGTAGCAAAAAAGCATTAATTTCCTACCAATCCATTCACAGTCAGATTTGCTCTCCCAAAAATGACAAACACTGGATGGTTAAGGCTCACTCTTCTAGAATTTAAATATTTGAAAATAGCTTTCTTAAACTGTGGATACTTATGTTCTCAGTTTTATGTAGCATCTATTGACCTCCTGCTATCAAAGATGAGGCTTTCTGATTCCTCCCCTCAACACCTCACTTCCTTTACCTTGCTGGAGTAGGCCAAATTCTAAAATCATAATCAATGGGTCATGCCCTTGTGTAATACCTTACCTTTGACTGAGGACAGTACCTGTGACTTGCCATTGGCCAATAGAGTATGGCTAAGGTGATAAGATTGGCATTTCCATGAATAGCAGTGAAACACTGATAAATTACTGGAAAACTTTATAGCAAGAATTGTGAGGATAGTGCATGACTGGGCAGTGTTTTGCTCTGTTGTACATAGGGTTGGTATGAGTCAGAGCTGACTCCACGGCACCTAATAACAACAACATATAAGACTCAGTCTTAGCAGACTGGAGTGAGAGATTCTCCTGCTGACTCTGGAGAAGTAAACTGCTGTGTTTTGAGAGCACCTGTGAGAGAACAATGTGGAAAGGAACTGCAGGGGCCTCTAGAAGGTGAGAGCAGCCCCCAGCCCATGATCATCAAGAAATTAAGGACCTCAGAAAAGGGTATAGGAGACATATGGGATATGGTAAAAAGGTATAACAAGCATGGCATTTTAATCATAGGGATAAGAAAGAGATAATGGGCCAGAAGCATTAAAGGAAATGTTAAAGGGAATAAAAGTAAAATTAAAAAAAAAAAAATTGTGACAGACATAGGGCAAAGAAGGAAGAAGTGAAGTCAACAGAAAAGTAAATATATGAGTAAACATAACCAAATATTGACTGTATAGAAAACAGTAATAATAATGCATTATGGGGTTAAAATAAATGTAGATTTAAAATACATGATTAAAGTATAAACAAGGTAAGGATACTAGTGTCAAGTGTTCTGCAGCTCTTACATAGTCTTTTTGACAATTTCATAGAAATGTTAAATGTAATAATTCATATTAGCTTTTAATAAGATAAAGTTGAATGTTGCAATCTGTATGGTAACCACTCAAAGAAAAGTAAAACCAAAAACCAAACTCACTGCCGTCGAGTCGGATCTGACTCATAGCAACCCCTCCTTGGGTTTCCCAGGAGGTATGACTACAGAGGTAGATTGCCCAACCTTCCATCCCAAGGAGTAGCTGATGAGTTTGAACTGCCAGTCTTCTGGTTAGCAGTCAAATGCCTTAGGCACTACGCCACCAGAGCTCCCAAAGAATAGTAAAAGACTGTAATTAATATGCTATGAAATGAGGAAAATAGAGTTATATAAAACAAGTTATTCCAAAAGAAGGCAAAAAAGAAAAAAGAATAGGTGAGCAATTAGGAAAAATACAGTAAGATGGTATTTTAAAATCCAAATACATAAATAATTATAGTCAGTGCAAATGGTCTACATATTCCAATTAAAATAAAACATTAAAAATACAAATATAGTTTGCAAGACTTACTTTAAATATAGGGGCTAAGATGAAAGGGTGAAAGTGAAAGGATATAAATATACATCTGCTAGAAGGCTCTGGTAGCATAGTGCCTAAGGCACTTGACTGCTAACCAGAAGGCTGGTGGTTCAAACCCACCAGCCACTCCTCGGAAGGAAGGTTGGGCATTCCTACTTCCGTAGTGATACTGCCTCGGAAACCCAAGGAGGGGTCGCTATGAGTCGGGGCCGACTCGATGGCAAATAACAGCAACAACAACAACAGAAGGCTAAACCAGACAAAATGAACTTTAGGGCAGGAAGCAATATAACAGGTAAAGAGGGATATTTAATTGAGATGAAAGGGTCAGTCTATAAGGAAGAAAATTCTGAATTTGCACACGTGTACAAGCAGAATTAGGCAAAGAAAAATAGGCAAACTTAAAATTGTGGGAAATGTTAATACATATTTCTCAATAACTTATAGATGTAGTAGATGAAGGCCAATGAGAAATAAATGATTTGATGACACACATAACACACTTGATCTAATTGACTTCTTGTGCATACTGCCCTCCACAAAATAGATATCTGTTCTTTAAGAGTACAGGTAATAATATACTAACATTGACCATAAGCTGGACCACAAAGAAAGCCTCAACAAATTTTAAGTGACTGAAATATTTAGAATGTATATGTTCTTAACATTGTAGAATTAAGCTAGAAATAAATGTTAAAAAGATAACTAGAAAAATCCCAAAATGTTCCCAAATTAAGAAATATATTTCTAAAGAAAGTCTGAAAAACTGATCATTAATTTATTACACTAAATGAATGTTCTAAAAAATAATAGCAAATACCATCCAAAAAAGTAGGAGAAAGAAAATAATTATGAGAAAATTAGAAATTTTTGAAATAGAAAATAACTGTGCAGTAGAGAGAATCAACAAAGGCAAAAGTTTGCTCTTTGAGTAAAGACTATTGAAGTTGCTAACCCTATGGCAAGGCTGATAGAAAAAAATAGAGACCATAATATTGAAAGCTGGACAATGAATAAGGAAGGTGGAAGAAGAATTGATGTATTTGGCTTGTGGTGCTGGCAAAGAATACTGAAAATATCACAGACTGCCAGAAGAATGATGAAATCTGTGTTGGAAGAAGTACAGTCGGAATGCTCCTTAGAAGTGAGAATGGCCAGACTTCGTCTCATGTACTTTGGTCAGGTTGTCAGAAGGGGCCAGTCCCTAGAGAAGAATATCATACTTGCTTAAGTAGGGGGTCAGAGAAAAAGGGGAAGACCGTCAGTGAGATGGATTGACACAATAGCTGCAGTGATAGGCTGAAGCACAGCAAAAGTTGTGAGGATGGTGTAGGACCAGGCATTGTTTCTTTCTGTGGTACGTAGGGTTGCTATGAGTCAGAGCTGACTTGACAGCACCTAGTAACAGCAGCAACATAATATAACCATATCAGGAATGAAAAACGGAGCATCACAACAGGTACTGCATGATGATGTTTAGCTCTCTTCTTTGAACCTGCCTTTCTATTTGTTGTTGTTGTTATGTGCCATCGAGTCAGACCCGACTCATAGTGACCCCTCCTTGGGTTTCCGAGGAGGTATCACTACAGAAGTAGATTGCCCAACCTTCCTTCCGAGGAGTGGCTGGTGGGTTTGAACCGTCAGTCTTCTGGTTAGCAGTCAGCTGCCTTAGGCACTATGCTACCAGAGCTCCTCTGCCCTTCTATATAGTGCTCTATATCTCCAACAAACCTATGTCACTTTTGTGTGTGTGCGTTAATATATCATATTAGCAATATTATGACCATGTAAATAATGTTCATAGCTGAGTCATGTACTACACCAGTTTTCCTGTGCAAAAATTTCTTTTCTCTGCAGTTAATTTTTGCGTTTTTTTCTTCCTTAGAATATTTTTGCAGGTTTATACTTTTTATTGTTCTCTCTCAGTCATTTGTGTAATTTTCAGTTTGGCTAATATAGACTTTAGTACTCTCTTCATTGTGGCGTTAAAATCAGAAAATATTCTGAAAGCCAGAAGTCTCACAATTAACAGACCAATCACCCACAGATTAGAAAAGAGGGTTCTCGTGGATTTAGAGTCTATCCTAAAATACACATAATAATGTAAATGCAATTTTCTTGAGAGATGGAGGAACTTGAAGTTATAGCAATTTGAGAAAGCAAAGACTTTATTGCAACTGGGAGACCAAGGTAGTTTTGAAAAATTGAAAATGAACTTACCGATGGATTCTGGAGCCTTAACTAAAACACACACACACACACACACACACACAAAGGGAATCTTGTTACTTGTCTGTGTAAACCAGAAACACCAAACTCACTGTCATTGAGTTGATTCTAACTCATACAATCCCCACTGGGTTTCCAAGGCTGTAAATCTTTATGGAAGCATACTGCCACATCTGTTTACTGCAGAGCAGCTGATGGATTTGAACCACTGACCTTTTGGTTATCAGCCAAATGCCTTAACCATTGAACCACCAGAACTCCTTTGTCTGTGTAAAGAAGGCTAATTTCCTCTGCTAGGCTTTTGATTATGAACAGAATGTAAAGTAGACACAGTCAAATGTTTCATTAAAATGTAATTGTTTCCTTTTAAAGTAAGGTGAGAACCTGTGGTAGGGCCTGTTCTATGGTCAAACTGTCTAGGACTGGCTTTATTTCCTTTTTCCTCAATTACTCATCTTACTGCATGTTGCTGTTGTTGTTGTTAGGTGCTGTTGAGTTATTTACATCTCAGAGTGTCCACATGTGACAGGGTAGAGCTGTCCCATTGCCTAAACCCACTGCCATCGAGTTGATTCCAACTCATAGCCCACCCCCACTGGGTTTCCAAGGTGGTAAATCTTTATGGAAGTAGATTGCCTCATCTTCCTTCCCCAGAATGGCTGGTGGGTTTGAATCGCGCGCCTTCTGGTTAGCAGTCAAATGCCTTAGGCACTGAGATCCTTTGCCCCATTGCCTGGTCTGGTGTTAACATGAAATGAGAGCCTGGCTCTGGTTCACTCTTATTCTGAAGGTATGTGTATCTCGTGCACCAGTCCAACCTGGGAGAGTCTCTTACAAGACTTCCTGTGCTGGGCCTGGATCTAGAATTTTGAAGCATTACTTCATCATGTTCTAACATCTGGGCTAGCTGTTGATACATTGATGTATTATAATTTCTGATCTTTAATATGTGACTTTTTTTTTGCTTTTTGGTTTCATGATGTTGAC